TCAAAAATGTGGAAAATTTGGAAAGTTGGAAAATATTTTCCCTGGAAAATTTTGCCTATCAAACACTACAAAAGTTGGAAAATGGAAATTTTTTTCTATTTTTCATGAAAAATGTGTGCTATCAAACGGGGTATTAGAGAAAGTTGTTGGAAAAATTAAGTTCATGTTTGATTGCATTTCAATTCCATGGAAGATGGAATTTAAATTCCATTTTCCACCTTTTGCATATTTGATTGTCCAAATTTCCTATGAAATTGATTTTCCATTTTTCATCTACATGCTCACACTTTCTTGATTTTTCTTTCTAGACAAATTTTTTTTTTTGCAATGAAAACAAATTTTATCCCTAATTGTAACAAATTATATTCATTTAATGAATAATTTTTATGGAAAACAAAGTCAAACGAACACCATAAGATCCAAAATTTCAATATTTTTCAGGTGAAAAATTATAACAATCAAACACAATTAATTGATAATTTTCAGTATAACAAATTCTAGACAATTTAATTCCCAGGAATTCATTTTCTTTCAACTCAAATTCCATTCTTGCAATCAAACGGACTCTAAAAGAATAGTGAGAAATGAGAGTTTATACGTGACAACCACATCCATATCAAATGATGTACAAGTTTAGTTCTCATGACCGTGACTATTGGTGGAATGTCATTAGCTATCTCCACAATTTTCATACAAAGAAAGATCTTAAATTCTAGACTTTTAATAAAGTATGCTTAATTTGCATTTTTGAAATGAAATTGAGATCTCATATCAAAGTCGAACGGGTTGATGGGACCCCACCAGGTGGTTTAATACTTCTTTTTATCTCTTCATGACATAGTCGCTGGATGATTTGGTAGCAGTAAAATTTGACACTAGTATAAAAGTTATATAGACATGAGCAGTAGAATGTACGACAAATTTGGGTGTCAATTATTAAAGAATTTTCCCCCTTGTACAGTCATTAATGGACTGTAAAATGTACAGTCCTGATTGATTAGCGTGAACCCCACTGATTAATTAATCAGTGGGGCCCACGCTAATCAGTCGGGACTGTAAAATTTACAATCCATTAAGAACTATACATGCAACATCCTTTATTATTAAAATGTAACTTATAATTTATTTTTCAAAGTCAAACATTAACATATTTAATATGCAAATATTCCCCGAGTACAGGAAATAGTTACAGATTTTGTACAGGATGCTGTTGTGGCAGCATCCTGTGCATCTGTGTGTGTGTATGTTTTGTTTCCAACTTTGAATATGTGTTGTTGATTTCAAATTTCTGTACCAATTCTATAAAAAATTTATGTACTTGTAGACAAACTCTTTAATATGACTCACAATTATTATTCACTCAGCCACATTTCTATCGTAATATAATTTTTATAACTTGTAATTTTAACCACACTCTCGTTATGTTAATACCAAGTTTATTCCGATGTTCACATCGTTAACATGAGATGTGAGACGTCTACTCTATTGATCTTTTAGTCACATGTTGTGGGCCTCACTCCAGGTCCCTACCTTTATTTCACGATTCTCCTTTTTTCCAACCTTCACCA